GCTCCTTGAAGGTAAAAGTACTTTCTCATTTGTACTGTCTCCTGAGTGCCCTGGAGAGCTATTAGCAAAGAGCCAGCGCTCAGCAAATTATGGAACATGTGACAGTCAGAAGTGATGGGGGATGTGGTCTGTAGATGCCAGGAGGGGTGTCTATAACCCAGACACACTGAAATAGTACCTATGTACAGATGCTGAGACATCCCAGATATATGCAGCTCTATGGTTATTGATATAACTTCAATAAATAAACAGAAATTAGTAATTTTAAACTTCCTGGAAACTCCAGCCAGAGCTTTTCTTTTGAAAAAGAAAACAGTCTCTATAAAGAGATGCATTTGTTAAAAATATGTATATAGATATATTATATTACATATGTATTGTTGGAATAGAATATAACTAAATAGGGTAAAAATTACTTTATGGTCTTTGCATTTTTTAGGAAAATAGGGTGTCAATTGAGGGAGGGAGCAACTGAAGGTGAAATTCTCAAAAAGACAACCCCAGCTCCAGACTAGCGATCGGTCAAAAACCAAGGCAACATGAGGTTTGAGATTTCTTATGAGAAACTCTAGTAAGAAAAATACAGTGACTCATTTCATAATAATGCCTTTTCTTCCCAAAGTACACATCACAGTTCCCACATCCCTAGCACATGGGCACTCTGCAGAACTATTGCAACACGAAGGATCCCCTGTGCTGCCGGCCCTGGGTGGACAGAGAAAGCCAACGGAGATGAGAGATAAACAGACCTCCCTAGTGTGGTGGGGAAAGGAGTCAGTGGCTGAACTCACTCCATCTCTCAAAGAAGGAGGATTTCACCTTTTCTCCTTTGTGCTGCTTGATCTGGGACAGTGGTTCTTTTGTGCAACCACCTTTGAGCACTGGGGAGCTAAGTACGGCCGGTTTCCTTGTCTGCAGGCTGAAAGGTTCCCTTGGCATAACAGTTTTGAATAGTTTGCTCCCTGATTTCCTAAGAAATATCACTTAAGATAACATTGATAATCCAAAAGTTAGGGTGAGGGGGAGAAGCTACAGGAAAAGGAAATCTGTGTCCCTCTGGGCTATAGCACTCATAAGGCACCAAGGCTGATGGTCAGGCTCAGGGACTAGCTCATTCCCCCATTACTTCTGTAGGCATATAAGAGTTACATCAACAATTACAGGAAAACAACTGAAGTTTATTGCCAATATAGCTACTCAAAGAGCCAAGTTCACTGGCCTTGCCCAGTTGGATATTCCTTGAGAATCATGTCCAGCAGAAAATGGGATGGATCCTGCCCTTTGGAAAGTAGCAATATAAAAGGATAAAAGAATTCCAGGCTCGAAGGAAGTGCAAAGGATCTTAGGGGAACCTGATATCACAGGCTTTGAGCCTCTGGGGCAGAAGGCAGTGCTGGGAGGGAGGGACTGCTTATTGATCCTTAGATAGCTGAGACAGTGGGACTCTGTAGAGGTTGAACTCTGAGACACTTTGGTGGAAGGACCCTGTAGTTGGCTTGAGAAGGAATTTGCAGAAGGCTTTTCACTTGATTTGGGTATTTCACAGCTTCCAGTGACAAGCCTGAGGACGTGGAAGACTCCAGGCTTGGGAGGAAGGGAGGTGCTCAGGATTGCAGGTAAGACAAATGGATGGGTGCAGAGCATATCCAGGGAACTGTAGAGTACACATGTAAGTGTAAAAAACCCCACTGTAAGCTACAACACGGTGTGTTAAGTTTTCAGTATTTATTTGTGATGGCTCTGCGTTGGATGTCCACTGTTTCCTGACTTGTGGTTTGGGGAAAGTTTGTATAGGTCAGAGATGGGCAAAAGGGGTCACTGAAGACCAAGACTGAATACAAGCAAAAAGAACCACTTAAAAGGATGAAAGAGTTTCATGATGTAAATGGCATTTTTCTTATGCACTAACATGGGTAACTGATCGTGCTATCAGTAGAAATCAGAACATTGTAAAGATAAGGAAACTAAGCTCTCTCATATAAAAAAACTCACACTTCTTAGAATGAAAATGCTTAATAGATAAGAACTCCCCTAAATTAAAAGATTTATATAAGAGCAGCTACAGAAAACTTACATCTGTATAAATACCAGGGCCCCTAAGGGGAATAACATTTCACTTGAATTGAGATGTTTCAATTCCCCCTTAATAATTTAAGATACTAAGTATTAATATTACATATCAGATATGAGATCTAATTTCCCTGTATCCCATCTGAAAGCAATAATACATTCTGGTCCAGTTAATTATTGTTTTCTTAAACTATAGATCAATTTCTTCTTTGGTCTGAAAACCAGTAAAGCAACATGATAATAAAATCATACGCCAATAGCATTACTGCTTTAGTATGTATTAATTTAAGATAATTCAACATCCTGGGAATATTTCAAATAATTTTTTTACCAATAATTTTTTTTTTTTACCAAATTTGCATCCTTTATTTCCTTTAACCTACACACTTTTAATGGATGGAGAAGAGGAAATACAAGAGGTCACACTAGTTATTCCAAAGACATCCCCTGCTCAAAAAAAAGGAATCTAAATGTAAATCAGAATTCTTTACTCTTTCCATTTCCTGGGCCTTTTATTCTCTCTTAAAGCCCCTGAAACACTCTTTTTATGTATTTAAGATGTGATAAGCTAATCTAATATTCTCATAAATTATTCTGAAAGTACAATAATCATGCTATACTTTGTGACAAGGTTAATTAATGTCTGATGGGTTTAAATTTTCTTGTTTTTTTTTTCTTTTCTTCTTTTTTTGGGGGGGTCCGGTCATGGGGCCTGAACTCTGGGCCTGGGCGCTGTCCCTCAGCTCTTCAGCTCAAGGCTAGCGCTCTACCACTTGAGCTACAGTGCCACTTCCGGTTTTCTGGTGGTTTATTGGAGATAGGAGTCTCACGGTCTCTCCTGCCCGGGCTGGCTTTGAACTGCGATCCTCAGATCTCAGCCTCCTGAGTAGCTAGGATTACAGGCGTGAGCCACCAGTGCCCAGCTTGATTTAAGTATTTTTATAATACACATATACCACATTTGTAACAGATGTAGTCTTTTTTTTTTAAGAAACAAAACTCCTTTTTAGATGTGAGCAATGTTTTAAAAAATGGACATTATAAATCTGCCAACTAAAGACTTTTACATAGACTGCACATTTGGTATAATAAGATACCAAGCCCAAAGGGGTCAATTATGTAGAGACACAATTTAAACACAGTTAATACCTTATACCACTTGGCCGAGTCAATATTCCAGTGATGGTTTTCTTAGCCACTGGACCACTGCTTTTTGGTAGTCATTCTCCCTGTTCTAAGGAGTGACTGAGCGTTATTCCTGTTCAAAAGTTTGTCATGGCTTCCTAAAGCCAACATAGACAAATAGACATCAACAGCTCTCCATGACTAAGGCCTAATCTGATGTTCTGGCCTTACTTTCAACTAGTTCTTTTCTTGTATAAAGACATCAACTTCAAGTGGTGGTCTAGATGTGTTTAAAACTCCCATTCCACGTGGATATTACAGTTAGCTTAGGTCTTTGAAAAATCAAAATTATCAAAGTGGCTGATATTTATTCAATAGTTTTGGTTTTCTTTACCAGTATTGGTGATTGAATCCATGGCACTCTGCACGATGCATGCTGGTCAAGTGCTCTACCCCTGGTGATATCCTGAGCCCTTACTCAGTAGTTCTGAAATGATATTTTTGACAGCTGTAGCAAGTACTATGTTTCTGGCAATATGGAAAGGAAAACTAAGCTACATAATTTATTTTTTGTCCTTTCCCTTAAAAATTAAAATACAAGATGATCTTTTCTAGATCAGAATTAGAATTCAAAGTGATCTGCTCCATCAAACAATTCTTCTGTTTATAATTCTTTCTATGAAAAATAAGAATGTCAGACTTTTAAACTTTATCTGTTTGTTTATTGATAGTACTGGGGCTTGAACTCACAGCCTTGCACTTTTCATTCCCTTTTTTTTTTTTGCTCATGGCTGGTGTTCTACCACCAGCACCATACTTCTAGTCCTAGCATTTTGCAGATTAACTGGAGATAAGAGTCTTCTTTGGCTGATCCTCAGATCTGTCTCCTGAGTGGCTGGGATTATAGGCATGAGAGTGAACATTATATATTATCAAATGCTTTATCTGTTCTTTTTAATCTCTGTTTAGCTGAAGTTTAAGTAAAGATTTGAGCAACAAGAGTCTCTACTAGAAACGGTAACTAGATTGTATTGTAATGGATACTAGGTTAGCTGATTTATTTTACTAAGAAAGGTGAAGAGAAGGTCCTATTAGAGTAATATATTTGATCAACATTTAGGATAAGAAAGTACAGATCATCATGATGATTCTACAAGAGAAATTCTATCCAGTTTAAGAGTTGTTTTACATACATGCAATGCACACACACACACACACACACACACACACACACACACACACACACACACACACACACACACACACACCCCACCCAAGAAAGTTAGGCTAAATTCTCTGTTCAATGCTCAAATCTACGTAGAGAATAGTTTTTACCTCCAACTTTATTGCTGTAGCCAGGAAATATTTGATGTCACTTTCTTAGTAGACATCTCAACTTCTGGGAAGTGAGATATGGGAACTAGCCTTTGACACATCTAGGGAAAGCTCTTGGGGCTCTGTACTGGGGCAGTGATTTCTTGTGGACATGTTTGCTCTGTGTCCCAGGGCCTTGATGTATATAGATACTGGATGAAATGAGCCAGAGTTTAAGAGTATGCCAAGTATTCTGGAAACTCAATGAAAGTGCTGAGATGCATCAGGAAGGCCTAAGTGTGGCTCAGCTTTCTGGTCTCAGGTAGTAAACACAATATTAGTTGGGGAATAAAATCACAAATGTTTTAAAATACTCAATTACATGGGATCAATAAAGCAAGAATGAATTTTCATTCTTTAATTTGCATCCCTCTTATCCAGAGCAAGTTGTTGTGTGAAGTAATTGATGATCCAAGAAAACAGCTTCTTACCAGTATTCTGTCTCCCAATGCAGCGAAGGTGGATTCCTCGCTTGAGGAAATAGGCTGTGATTTGAAAACCATAACCTGTAAAATTAAAGGTTTTTGATTTCACAAGTTTGTTTGTGACCAAAGACCAGTACCTGTCTTGCATTATGCATTAAATAATTTAACAAATCAAAGAATAAAAGTATCAACAGAGAGCCCTACGTAAGTGAATATTACTACCTTTTATCTTCAAGGAAGCCTTACAACAGGCTCCTAGACACCAAAGTGGCTCAGTCATTTCATCTGTAAAACAGAATAAATGAGGTAGACTAATATGAATAGAAACTAGAGCTTTTGAGGTGAATGCTTAACTTAGTCTGAATTGATGCATAGATCTTGGCCTGCTCTAAATATTTGTTACTTGTTAGCTTATGAAAAGAATAGTTTGTGGCTACTGGTGGCTCATGCTGCTTGGAAGGTTGAGAATGGGAGGACTGCAATTTGAGGCCAATTTGGGCAGAAAAACTTGGAAGACCCATTCTCAGCTCACAGCTGGTGCAAGTAACATATGTCTGTCATTGAAAGCTATGTGGAAAGCTGATACCCGAAGATCATGGTAGAACATATGATCAGGCAGAAAAGTCTGTGAGATTCTTTCCCCAAAATAATCAGCAAAGACTATGTTTGCAGGTACAGCGTAATTAATTGGTAAAGCACCAAGGTAAAGCAAGCCAAGTGCTTACTCCCAACTTCCACCCCTCCCAGTCCCTAAAAATAAAATAACCGGTGAAATATAGGGCTGTAGGCAATGCTCAGTGGTTTTGTGCTAGCCTAGCAAACACAAGACCCTGAATTCAAACTCTAGTGCCCTCAAACAAAAACAAAAACAAAAGACCTATTCGCAAATCACTAGAATGATTTATGTGAAAAAGATAGAGCATTGAGTTCTAGCAATAACTTAGGGAGATTGGAATTCCAAATATGCTGTTGGGAGTACAAATTGGTATAGTTACTTTGAAAAACCATTTAAGAATCTAAAGCTGAATGTAATAAGCATGGATATACAGTGTGCCTAACAGGATTTCCCAATATTCTCAGATTGGAGCCAATAAAAAGTCCATCAACAGAAATTTTCTAAATGAGGATATATCTAGCTACCCAGTAAAATATTATGCTGCTCTCAAAGATGAATGGCCTACAACTACAGGCAGTAAGCATTAAATGACACAAACAAACCATCAAGTTAAAGAAATCTGTCCAAAAGAGTGAATATTATCTGTAAAAAGTGGAGATATTGGGCTGGGAAGGTGGCTCAGTGGTAGAGTGCTTGCCTTGTATGCCTGAGGCCCTGGGTTCGATTCCTCAGCACCACATAAGCAAAAAGAAAAATACCGGAAGTGGCGCTGTGGCTCAAGTGGTAGAGCGCTAGCCTTGAGCTGAAGAGCTGAGGGATAGCGTCCAGGCCCAGAGTTCAGGCCCCACTACCGGACCAAAAAAAAAAAAAAAAAAAGTGGAGATATTGCAGTTGATCTAGCATGATTGTAAGAGAACATCAGATAATTAACTCAAAGTACCAGCCTAATAATTTCTTCTCTCCTTTTGTCCTCTCCAGCATTCCTCAAGGTCTAAATGAATCTGTTGCTGATCTTTTTGGAAAAGGTAAAAAAAAAAATGTTCCCAGTTAACAAAGTGAAGTATCTGGTAGGACAATCAGAACCAAAAGGCTTACTAGAGAGGGCTGAGACAACCTCAAGGAAGTTACTAAGCCTCCAGGATAGCATTTTACCCATGAAACTAGAAGGGCAGACAGTGGAAGAAATGATCCAGGACCTCTAGACCATCTCTAGGGAAACCAAGTTCTCTTCTCCTGCAAACAGTCCTTGACAAGGATTGTTCCAAAACAACTTAATCAGAAGCAATTCAAGAAGCTTTTGGTGTTATATTCAGTACCCTTCTAATAACCCCTGCAGAAAGATTTCCAACACCAGTAAACACAGACACATGCTGTGTCCAAACAAGCTAAGGCTCTGAACAGCACAATTACCTTAGTCATCCAGTGAAGTAACAGTGACATGTATGAAAAGATAACCTCCAGATTTGCTGAGACAAAATGTATTTTTCCCAATACATTCAAAAACGGATTGCATGAAGCTGGGTGCTGGTGGCTCACACTGGAAATCCTAGCTACTCAGGAGGCTGAGATCTGGGGATTCTGGTTTAAAGCCAGCGTCCGTGAGACTCTTATCTTCAATTAACCACCAGAAAACTAGAAGTGCATTGTGACTCAAGTGGTAGTGTGCACGTTGAGGTGAAGCACTCAGGGACAGAGCCTAGGCCCTGAGTTCAAGTCCCATGACTGAACAACAACAACAATAAAAAACCCCAAAAAAGGATTGGTGGGAATGTGGCTTAATGGTAGAGTGCTTGCCTAGCATTCATAAAGCCCTGGGTTCAATTCCTCAGTACCACATAAGCAGAAAACCCTGGAAGTGGCACTGTGGCTCAAGTGGTAGAGTGCTAGCCTTGAGCAAAAAAGCAGCTCAGGGACAGTGCTCAGGCCCCAGGACTGACAAAAAAAAAAGATTGCATTTTAGTCACATGGCTCTCTTCTCCTAAAATGTTAAACAAAATATGAAAACTGTTAGTATTACTTTGTATACTTTAAAAGAAAGAATGGAAGTCACTTCTACATCTGTTTATTTGTCCTGCTGCTAGGGAAGAAGGGTTAGAAGAAAGGAATCCTTTGCAATTTGGAACTCACTATAAGCAAAATTTAAAAGTGATTTTTTGAAGTATTTATGAGTTTTCCAAAGAAACGAACAAGAAAAATGAATATGCAATATCTAATTCATTCTGTTTTTGCCAGCCTACAGTTCTAAATGATTTAGATCCAGATGGTACTTTTGAAACTTCAAACCTTCTTCCTGTCCCAAATATCCAGCAATAAAATGTTATTATTAGGAAGAGGCTAAATGTGAAGTTGACCATAAATGCACAGTTCAGGAAGTCTGGTATCAGTAGATACCACTTGAGCGATAACCAAATCCAATTTGGGCTGCTTAACAATAAAGTCACAATATGGTATTTTCTATAGAAAAGAAAGTAGTATAAGGCAGATTCCTGATGATTTATTGCTGAAATTGCTAGAAGAACTGAGATGACTAAAACTTAGTTCCCTACCCCTACACCTCCATAATTTACAATTATGATAAAAGTAATCATTGCTAACCTGGCAACTTGATATTAGTGGTTTAGTGGACAACCTAACCTAACAGAATCTCAACAGAAATGGCAAGCTTAACATGTAAAAAAGATTTGCACCTGCCTAGTACAAATTCCACTGGTCACATGAAACTTTATTATTCAAAGAGAAACTTGAAGAGAGATTAAACACAAAAGGTGCTTATGTCAGCTTTTACAGCAAACTAAATTTGATATATAAACAGAGAAAATTACTGCTGTTAAAACATACTCAACTGAAATGCTTTAGGGAGATGTACTTCATTTATCAAAAGATAATGGGCAGTAATAAAGACTATGTTTTTATCTCTACTCTTATCTATCATTGTTCATAACTGAGTTCAACAGGCCACTGGGATTTTTGTACTTAGCCAGGGCTATTTCTGAAGCTCAGCAGCACTTTGGTGAAGAATTTAGAATGCCCTTTGCTTTTCCTACTCAGGCACCAGCACACAGCTTCCAATTCAATGTTCTAAATAAAAGAAAATCCGAGTCAGGAGGAAACTTGGGAGAAAGAGTCAATGAAAATCATTAAGTGATCATCTTTTTTATTAGAAAATTATTTTAGCAAGTCTTCCAAGATTGTTAGGCACTTGTAAATCACAATGAAGTATATCTTTTTTTTTTTTGCTGACTACAGCGGTCCTCCTTAATATGAGATTTCAGACACAGGAGGAGACTGAGATTAAAGAGATTAAAGAGAGGTTGGTTTGTAACAGAAGCAGCTTTCCACCAGAAGTCTTTAGATCTGTGCATTTCTAGGAATAATTTATATTGAAGAATTGCTTAGTGTCATATGATTACCCAGTACCAGCAAGTCCTTCTTCTCTGGGCTCAAAGTCTTCCGTTCTCATTCCCTTTTTGGTCTCTGCACTTTGTACAGAGCTTTTCTGTATCCTATAGACAGCCTCCAGGCTCCCCAAATCATGACCTTATTAACTTTCTTGTGGTACCCTTGGTTGCTCACCAAAGAATATTAATTCTCTTAGGCGAAAAAATGGGAGAGGGATTTACTAATGTTTATGAAAGAAATGACAATCTCGACTCTCTAACTTTGTTATCTCATATTCTTTCTAAAATAAACTGCTGTGCAATGTCTTTATAAGACTTTCTGAGACTCCTTGAATAGAAAAGCAAAAATAGCCACTCCCCCCCACCAAAAAAAAGTCAAATGTGAGTTGAAAGGATTCCACCTTGGCTTAGCAAGGCATGCAGATCAGTTTGTTGGTGTTGGTGGTAGTGTTTGTGGGGCTTAAACTCTGGGGCCTGGTTGCCGTCCATGAGTTCTCTGTGCTCAGGGCTAGATATCTACCACTCCGCAGCACCATTTCCAGTTTTCTGGTGATTAACTGGAGATAAGAGTCTCACAGGGACCTTTCAGCCTAGGCTGGCTTCAAACTGTGATCCTCAGATCTCAGCCTCCCAAATAGTTAGAATTACAGGTGTGAGCCATTGGCACTCAGTTCTAGATCAGTTTTAAGTAGAACTGTGCTCTGATGAGTAATGCTCATTTTAAGGAAGTGGTCATTTATTTGGATTGTTATAGTTTATAATCCCCGAAGCAAGTATCTACCATGGAGATTCTTTTCCGGTGCACTCACAGCTTCTCTACAGCTGCTAAGGGGAGCCTGTGGTACAGTATACAACATGGAAGGACCTCTCTGATGGTGATGGAGACCAGGCATGCACGGTTTTCCTGGAGAAATACCTCCATATGGCCCGCTGAGCCATCAAGATGGCCTGGAAGAGAGGCAGTTGTTTTTTTGGTTTATAGTGGGCTTCAGCCACTACCGACACGTCTCTCCTTCAGGAAAAGTCTCACGAACCACAAGGCAGGATCAGGAAGACCTCCAGTGGCC